CAAAAGAAAAATGAGGAGGAACCCAATAGAGGGATGCTTTTGGAAGCCCTTGTCAAGAAATTTCAATGGACTCTCATATGCACATTTGAAAATTGCCCTGTTCTGACTTTTTTCTAAGTTTCCTATCTAAAACTTATAATGCTAATTACTCTTGCCTTTACTTCTCCTTCACATCTCCTATTCATGATTCAAGGACTTTCTTTTCCCTTAGAGGTAAGAGTTATGCAATTTGGGAGTCTTTTAGATAGACTCACTGAAGGGGTACTCCACTTGCCTCACCCTGCATCCCTGTTCACCATGGAAGAAGCCAGAGGGGTCTGTGACCCGATTCCCTATTGGCAATTTGGGTAACGTCTTCAGAGGATGGTGTGATAAGAATAGGAGGTAGGAATTGGCTAGGTAGTTAGGGTAAAAAGACCCCAAAGAAAAGTAGCCAGTTTCTTGGCTAAAAGTCAAAATGTCCTTGGGCCTCTTAGCAACATACCCTGTTCCAAAGGCCAAAAATGTTGAAAGTATTTGGGAGCTTGTATCTAAACCTTAAAAGATTTTAGGGTCACCTCTTTGGGGGAGGGGGATGTTAGAGTAGCCAAAATCTCCATAAAAATAAATAAATAAATCAAAGAATAAAAAAACCTGAAGTCTTAATGTTTTCATCAGTGTTCTACAGCACATATTAGTTATATACTATATGGGTTTTTAAAATTTTTTTTTACTTACTAGTTTTTTTGTTTTTTTTTTTATGTGTATGAGTGTACTGCCTGCACGTGTGTGAGTGCACCCGTGCCATGCAATGCCATGGAGGTCAGAAGAGGGCTTCAGATTCTCCTGGAACTGGAGTTAAGGATGGTTCAAAGCCACCATGTGGGTGCTGGGAATCGAACCTGGGTCCTCTGCAAGAGCAGTCAATACTCTTAACCACTGAGCCATCTCTCCAGCCCCTATACTATATTGTTTTAAAAATATTTAAATGATGCTTTACAAAGTTTTACTTCCAATGTTTCTTTGTTTATATATAGAAAAACACAGTTATTCATTTATCTTACAACCTATGACTTAGAACTTACATATTGATCCTGGGAGTTGTTTTCTAGATTCTTTAGGTTTTTGTTTTTTTTTTTTTCCCTACATAAACAAATGTGCCATCTTCAAAAAGAGACTTTTCTTTATTTCAACAGAGTTTCATTAGGTTGCCATGGCTGGTCTTGAACTCATAGGATCAGGTGATCTCCTACTTCAGTCTCTTGAATACATAAGACTTCAGGTGCACATTGGCCACTGCACCTGTGGTTTGTATTTTGTTTCTTGTCTTATTGCACAGTCTGGGACCTGCACTATTACACTGAATAGAAGTGTAAGGGCATCCTTACTTTTTTCTCAGTCATAGAGGAGAACATTCTATCTTTCCTTATTAGTAGGTTGTTAGCTATAAGTTTTGGTATATACTGTTGATCAGGTTAAGGGGCTTTATTTTCATTCCGAATTTGATGAAGTATTTTTTTTCTTTAAATCATGAACATATGTTGTAGTTTATCAAATAGTGTTTCTATTTTATTCTGTTAATATAGAGAAATGCTTGTTTGGTTTTTGAAGTTGAACTAGCCTTCATTCCTGGGGTAACCCCACTTAGCATGTTGAGTTATCGTGATACAGTGTCTTATCTGCAGCTAGCTTCTTGTCTTTTTTGGTTCCCCTGTCTTATTCCTGCTTTTCCTCATCCTTCATCTCTCTCTTTCTTCTCACACAGACTTTCCCTAGCTAGACTATCCTTCAGCCTTCACCTCCTCACTTTTTCTTTCTCCTTACCTATTACCTAGAGGCCCCAGTGACTTCCCAGAGTCCTGTTCTTGGGGTCTCATTTCATGGTCACTGTACTGATTATACTGAAGACTATGACCTTTCTTCCTGGCCTTTCTTCTCCTGGGCCCCAGGGTTCTTTTTTCTGAGTTGCTCTGCCTTGCCTGGCCCCAGCCTTGTGTAAATCTTTATTCCTTAATACTTTGGGCTCCTGTGACAGTGTCCTGACCCACTTCCCATTCCCAGCATATTTACTCTAATGAGCCTTATGGGAGCCATGTGCTTATTCTGCTCCCTTGTGGCTCAACACCCTTTATGGCTCCCATATGAGAATGATGCCGGGTTTGCTCAGCCTGAGCTACTACGTCTTTTCCTTCTGTGGATGTTTGGAGAATTAGTGAACCTGGGCTATTTGTTCAAGGGCCTAGAGTACCCTGGGGCCATGTGCTTCTCCATGCCTGAGGACCTTACTAAATACATTCCCCTGACATCCAGCACCTCTTAGCCTGCCCAGAGGTCTGTGCATCGTTCCTCCACTTAAGCACTCCCCGCTACTTTTTTGTATAATATAGAGTGATTTCTGCTTCCTATTGCTGGTTCTCTGTCAGCTTTTGTCACATTATCTCCTTGCTGTAGGTAGGTACAACAGAATACCCTTGTAAACAAAAGAGATTTGTTTCTCACAGTTTGGGAGATCAGAAGCCTGTGATTAGGGCGCTGGTATGGCTGGGTTCTGGTAAGCACCCTCTCAGGTTGCAGATGACCATCTTCTTGTATCCTCACATGGTGGAGAGCAAAGAACAGGGAGAAGCACAAACCCCTTCCTATAAAGGCATGAAGCCCATTCATGAGGGCTCCATCCTGATGATCCAGTCACCTCCTACCTCCTAACACCCTCACAATAGGCATTAGGAATTTAACATGGACATGAACATCCATGTCTAGCATTTTTAGGTGGATTGCAAATTCCTATAGAACAGGGTCTTCTTCCCTTGTTATACGTAGTTTTCCTATTTTATGGAAATGGCAGGATGGGATTCATGGGTGGATAGGATTGGGGTAAAAATTGGTCAGCAACAGTATCTGGCAAAGTTGGGGGTACTGTTCACCTGAGCCTGCTCCTGCTGTGGAGAGTCTTCTGTTGGGAGAGAGCCAGAACAAGAGAGAGAAATTCTCTCCCTAGAACAGGGCAGACACTCTCCAGAACATCTCTAGAGAAAGATTAAACTGTAGCCAGTATATGCCTATCGAAGCTCTGGAGCTAGGCAGGGCTGGGGAGGATGTGGGTGAAGCTCACTACCTCCTCAGAGTATTGCAAGGGAAGCCTTCAGGTGGGGCACAGATCTGAGTCAAGGGCAGAGATATCGGAGGCCAGAGAGGAGTGTGGGAATCATCTGTTAAACCCATTGCTGAGCATTGGGAATCCCTGAGGGAGGCTCTTTGGGATTCAAATGGACAAGTGCCTTTCTTACCCAGAACTACAGTAGACAGTGGACAGTGGAAGTGAACACAGTGGAAGATGTAGGTCTGATCTGGGGTTGAGACTAACAGGCTATGGAGTGGACTGTGGTGGGGCTCAAAGACTCCATAAACTTCAGACCTGAGCGTCTTTACCGGCTTCTGTCTCATGTGGCTGGGGGCAAGGGCAAGACCAGGATCAAATGTTCACATCCCCAAAGCTTTACTTGCCAAGGTCCATCTGACAGGAACCTCAGCTCACTGGGCTTTGATTTGGGCAGTATTTACTTGCCTTTGTGGCTTCTATTGTATTGTTTTGTTTTACCTTAGTATTTCAGTAAATACTCCTTTCAAAAGAAGCTTAGCAGGGCTGGAGAGATGGTTCAGCGGTTAAGAATACTGACTGTTTTTGCAGAAGACCTGGGTTCGAATCCCAGCACCCACGTGGCAGCTAATAACTGTCCATAACTCCAGTTCCAGGGGATCCGACAGTCTCTTCTGTCCTCTATGATCATTGCATGACATGGGTGCACTTACCTACATGCAGGCAATACATGCATATACATAAAATAAAAATAATAAAATATTTAAAGAAAAAGAAGCTTAGCTTTGGGTCTCCTGAGCAGCAGGGGCAGTAATATTTTTATACACACCTCAGTCAGTGTGGAACAGGGGATCTGTGAAAAGTAGGGAGAGGGCACATGCCCACCTGCTGGTGTGCAGGACTGTCAGAAACCTTGTGCTGTTGCAAAGCGAGAGTGGAAACCTGGGGAAGAGAAGGAACTCCCCTCATCCTTGATGAGGCCCCACATTGTTCCTTCATTCTCAAGTGGTTGGCATGGTCCTGGGGCCTGTGTGGCCAATGAGGCCCGGACTCATGGGAGCCAATTTTTAGGGTAATATAAACCAGGCCATTTCTGGAAAGGCAGCTCGACTCATGCTTTCTAAGGTGAAGTCTCACCACCCTCATAGAACTTCCCTCTTGGTACCCCTGATATATCAGACAGATCTGATTTGGAGTACCTTGGGCACTTTTAGTATGATTTAGGGATTCTGTCCTTAATTAGCCATGCCCCATCACAGGCCAGCCAAGCTTGGGTCTCTGAGGACATTATAAAACCTAAATGATTTAAGATTGACTTCCTTAGTCCAGTGTTAGCCATATTGGGCTAGGTGCGTACTTGGTAAGATGTGGGCCAGGGTCAGGGCTCCTGTGACCTGTGCCTGCTGCAGTCCTGAGCATGATGTGTTTTTCTCCTCCTCTGCAGCTTGTCTCCAATGTCCTCATCTTCTCCTGTACCAACATCGTAGGTGTCTGCACCCACTACCCAGCTGAAGTCTCCCAGAGACAGGCCTTCCAGGAGACCCGGGAGTGCATCCAGGCTCGGCTCCACTCACAGCGGGAGAACCAGCAACAGGTGAGTGAGGCACAGCCAGGAGGCCTGGAAGACAGCCAAGGCCCACTGTAGAGGAGTTGTGGTTAGCACTCTGCCATCACTCTGCCAGCCCCACCTGCAAGGAATATTTTCCCCAGGAAGCCCAATGCCCCTGGCTCTGTGGGACCCTCTTGGTCTTCCCTTCTCTTGCCTGTGGTCCCTTCATGTGTTCTTGTGATTTGCATATAAGTCAAGCAGCAAGAGGCCTCCTCCATCCCTCCATCCTGGGGTCCCATGAGTTGGAGAAGTGAGAGCAACCAGTATTTCCAGCATGGATTGAGGTGCTCACCTAGGGGAGGAAGGACACAGGGAGGGGCAGGCATTATCAACCCTTGGGGTACCCAGCTCTTCATTTCCCAATTCTGGGTATGGTGCTTCTGAGAAAGAAGATCATCCTGTCTTTCCCCAGACTGTGCTGGGCCAGAGAGGCTGACCATTCACAGGGCCACAGCCTTGGGCCAAGGGAATACCCTTGGGTGCTTTTCATAGGTACGTTATGGTGGAGGCTGAGGTAGGCATTCCAGCTATTCCCTTCCCTCAGGATGGGGTCTTATTTGGGGTTCAGGTCTGGGTCACCACTGCACCTGTCCTGTGTGTGACCCAGACAGAGGGCAGGTTCCTTTACCATGTAGAACTATGGTAGCTCCCGGAGAGGAGGCTGGGGCCAGGGAATGGTATCCCTAGAGAGCAGTCAGCAAGGTGATGGTTCTCCCATACCCTTGGACCAGGTATGACTCTAATGAAATGAAGTTCCTGCAGACCAATAGGTCCTCTCTCCCCAACTGTCAGCAAACATTGGTAGATGCCTATGTTCCATGTACTGTCAGGCCCCATCGCAGATGTGGGCACAGAAGGTCTGTCTTTGAGCTAGGCACAGGGAGAAAGTGGTAGGGCCAGCAGCAAAGCATGTGCTATGGCCACTCTATATGCAGAGCTGCCTCACTGAAGTGTGGGCATCTCTGATTTATCTGGGTACATGCTAGATGGTTACAGTGACATAGCTGCTAATATCCAGACAGCCAGGTGGGGAATGAAGCTCCCTCACAACTTTCTAGATCCTTCTATCCCTACTTCCCCTCTAGCACCATCTCTGGCTGTTGTGTTTTGCCAGATGTCCTGAGAACACTGATCAATCTGAGGTCTGACTGTCTTTATTCACTCTTGTTTTTTTGAGACACAGTCCCATGTATCCCAAGCTGGCTTTGAACCTGCTATGTAGGTGAGGATAACCTTGAATGTCTGATCCTCCTGTCTCTATCTTCCAAGTCCTGAAATCGCAGGTGTGACCCACCATTCCTGGCTTATAAAGTGCTGGGGATCAAACCTAGGGCCTCGTGCATGCTAGACAAGTACTCTACCAACTGAGTTTCATATCCAGCCTCCCACCCACTTCACTAGACCATGACTGGGCCCCTGGTCCAGTCTCTTAAAGGAATCCATGCTCAACAGTGTCCTTTGTTGACAGACTTACCTCACTCACCTTTGACAATGCACTCTGTTCACCGCCTAAGTCTCTGCCTTCCTCAAGGGCCTCATTTTATCGCCCTTCTTGGGTCCAGTGCCCCTTCCGTGGGAATGGAACATCTTCCTTCCCTTCTGTTTTATAGGGTGTCCTCTAACTCTGGACCTCATCTTTTCCCCAGAATAATTGCTATCTGTGTTTTGAGACAGGGTCTCTGTGGTCCAAGCTGGTCTTGAACTCTTCTTTCCTTGACCTCCAAGTGCTGCTATTACAGGCATGAACCACCATAGCCAGCTCAGACAATTCCTGTTTCACAGCTCATCACTTTACTCACTCTGACTCTGGCCAAGCTGTATCTGCCACCAAACCCATAAGGATTTGGGGAAGAAACTCTTTTCGCCATACTAACTTCACATCCAAGCATGGGAAGGGGCAGCTTGCTTCCAGACCAGGCCTTTCTTCTCATCTAGCTAGAATCAGCTAGCTGTGCAGAAGGAGCTCCTTGGGGGGTCTCAGCTCAGCTCCTAAGTACCACATGATAAGGGGACTCAGAACTGTTTCTCCACTGGGACCCCTGCCCAAGCCAGTAACCCCAGAAGTAGTTATAGAGGTCCTTCAGTTTCCTGAACTTAAAGTTTATAACATCCTTCCTCTCAGTCATCCTATACCACAGGAACTGCCCAGTAGAGCATGCTTCTCCCACCAGCAACTATTTACTGAGAGTTCAGTACATGTGAGATGGCCATCAGTGGTGTGCTATCTGATGCCTGGGAGACCAGGTGCACCTACAAGCGCTGCATTTTCACAAGAAAGCACAAGGGTGTGGCACTAGATAAGACATAGGTCCTGTCCCCCAAGGAGGCTTCTTCACCCACTTAAGGGAGAAACAGCTAAAAGACCATCGAGACTGAAGAATCAGGGAATCTATTAAAGAAGACCAGAGTGGGGTAGAGATTCTGGTGACTGGAGATGGGTCTCCTGAGGAAGAGAAGGGAGAAGGCCTTCAGGAGGGTCAGGAGCAGTGTGACTTCTGTATAAAAGGCAAGAAAAGCTCCCAGAAGCTGGGGGATCTCTTCCCCCATGATTCAGTGTATCTGAGGTAGAATATAGCTTTCATTTAGGGGTGCCAGGAAAGGGTGGAAGATAGGGAGGAGCCAGCTCAAGGAGAGGATGAGGCCCAGGAGAAAGGACAGCAGATGAAGTGGCTGGTTTGCAGTGGACAATAAGGAAGGGTGAGTTTAATGAGTCTAGAATCATGTTTGATGTGGGAGCAGGGGAGTGATGTGGCAAAGTGTATTGGAGAGATTGGGGCTGTGCAGGCAGCAGGAAGGGCTGAAGGGAAAGCATGGGGCCAGAATGTACCACATGAGTCCCAGAGACAGGCGAGCTCACACAGGAGCATGGAAAAGGGGACAGAGGGGAAAGGACAAATTACAAAGATGTTTCCAGGTCAATGCTGAATGCCGGGGCTTGGCTTGGCTAAGAAGGGAGAGGAATGAGCACTGAAGCAAAGCTGTGGAAATGTAAGCAGTTTATATGGGCAGGGTCTTGACTTGGGTGCAGGAGGCTGGAGGTGTCTTCTGCAAAGGCAGGGGAAGGAAGAGGTGGGAAGGTGAATCTGGTTGGGGATGTGATGTCACAGGGCAGGACAGCTGGAGGCCAGTGTGCCCTGGACTGGAGCTGGGGTGGAGGTGACATTAGAGCTGATGGATGGTGGTGGCTTGACAGTGGAGCTGCTCCCCGAGGCAAGAGGATCCCGAGGACAGAAGCAGGGCATGCTTCATTAGGCACCCAGAGAAAGAGGAACCAGAAAGGACATGGAAGCAGGGCAGTCTCAGGGTCACCTGGGAGGGGAGGGGACCCAGAATTGGATGCAGAGTGATGGGCAGGAGAAGCAGGGGCCTGAAGGCAGCTGGCACGAAGGGCTGGAGAAGAGAGAACTAGGTGTGCGAGCCTTGCAGGAGGCCTGACCCTGAGAAGGGCTATAGCAGTCATATGGAGCTGCCTTGCACAGGAGGCAGGTGGACACTTTGAGCAGAACAGACCCAGGAGGAGAAGTTGGGAAGAGGAAGACATCTAGACCCCACAACTAGCTGGCTTGAGCTGCCACAGTGTGGCCTGGCCCCCTCCCTGCTTCTCTCCCACCTCCCTTGGTTGACTTTAGCTTCTCTTGGTTCCTCAGAGTCAACATGCTTTTTCTCGCTCTTGGGCCACCACCCCACATCTGGAGTTGGAGGACCCTGAAGGACCCTGGTCCTTCGGTCTCCACAAAGTCTTCTCTGATCACAGCACTTCTCCCAGCCTAGGTCAGTCCCCCACAGGAGCATTACCTGTCTGTAGGAGCATGGCTGACTCCTGCACCCAGAAAGATGCCTGGCACATCTATAAATATTTGATGACTGATTGAATGAGTCTAGCTGATATTGTCAATAGTAGTTTAACCAAGGTCATGGAGTCTCAAACTACATCCAGGTTTTAAGCTAAGCTTTTTGGTACTCACAGGTTCCACCAGGCACCCCCACCCCTTACACAGGTGCTATCCTTATGAATCTCAGGAGAGGTCTTCCTGGGTCCTGTAGGCAGGGGCACAGGTGTGGATGAGAGGAGCCTCACTGGGCAGGTGGAAGGAATGGTGACAAACCTATCTGCTTCCTTCTGCAGGAGCGTCTCCTGCTGTCTGTCCTTCCCCGTCATGTTGCCATGGAGATGAAAGCAGACATCAATGCCAAGCAGGAGGATATGATGTTCCACAAGATTTACATCCAGAAACATGACAATGTGAGGTAGGGGTGAGGGCAGGGTGGGAGAACTGGACTCTTACGGAGACAGCCCCATGTCTTCCCCTTAAGGGGGCACAACCTAACAGACTGGCTTGATGCTAAGGAGCAGGCCAGCCTTGCCCTTTGTCTGCTTGATGAATTAGCACTTTGCCCCGTTTAACTTTCTGTTGGGATCTGAAGTGGGTGGATACGAGGGGATAGAGGAAGAAGATAGAAAGTAATACCAGCTACCAGCAGGGGCGGGGGCCCCTAGCCTGACAAGGAAAACAGAAAGACTTGGGATCCCAATGTTGTCCCTCGTCACAATCTTCTTCACTACCTAGCCCCTTGCCTGCCCTCTGAGCCTGTATGTGCCAGCCACTGTTCCAGGCATTGCTTACCATGTCACCTATCCTTTCAACATCCTTACAAGGGACATAAACAACACTCCAGCTCAACTGTCCAAAACCCATGCTGAAGGCCCCCCAGTCAGCATGGTAAAGCCAGTGTTATACCCAAGTAAACCTGCTCCAAAACTCACTTTCCCTTTGCTGCATGTTGGCTGCCTCCCTAGACAGAAGCCACTGACAGCAGGGATGTGCAAACAGATGTAGGTTAATAGAGTGCAAAATCTGCTTATGAGTTCCACAGGGACATAAGCAATACAGGTGGCTTTCATCCAGTGAGGCTCCCAAAGAGCCTGGTAATCCTCACATAGTCCCAGAATTTCAAGAGAGTTACTTTCTACCTGGACAAAATTTCCTAAGACTTGAGTCCTCTAAGGTTGAGTAAATAGAATCTCAGGAGACTTGGGCTCTGTTTTCAATCAAAGGAGTCAGTGGATCATGTGAACCATCTCACAACACACACACAGACACACACACACACACACACACACACACACACAGAGAGAAAGAGAGAGAGACTGACAGCAGAGATGGGGGAGTACTGTGTTCTGCATGCAGAATCAGCAGAGCTACGCAGCCTCCAGATGTCCTCTGGAGTCTGAGACTACCATTCTGCATTTATGACTTCCCATCCCATCTGTCTGTCAAAACCCAAAGGCCAAGCCCTGGAGAGGGAAGCATAGCTGCACCACACATTTGTGCTGTTTGGGGGGGGTCTCCTAGCTCCCCTGTAACCTATCCTTGCTCCATATCAGGCAGAGCTAATGTAGGCAGTTAGCCATCGTGGTCTTCCAGGCAGAAGACCACCTGGCAGAGGTGTCCTGAGTGACCTGAGCCTGGAGAGGGTGATGGATACTATGGTGTGACTACTGGGCACGAGCAGCATGGTGTGCTGGCTCCTCTGCCTGTCCTTGTGTGTGCAGTGGTCACTCTCTAGTTGCTTTCATATGTTTCCCCAGTCTGCACCATTCAGTGTAAGAGGTTGATACAGTTATCATCCCCATTGTACAGGGGAGCAAGAAACTAAGGCACAGAGATTTATCCCCTTCTTCAGGGTCCCGTAGCTGGTTAAGAGGGAGACTTGTCCCCAGCTTTCTGACTTCAGTTTTTAACCTAGCCTGACCTTGGATATGTATGTTTCTATACCCAAGAGAGTGGTTTGGACAAGGACTCTGAGAGGCAGCTTGGGAAACCCTTGGGAGCAAAGGAGACTCAGAGGAAAAGGAAGAGGGGGCAGGGTTGGCTCTGTGTATGTGTGTGTGTATGTGTGTGTGTGTGTGTGTGTGTGTGTGTGTGTGTGTGTGTGTGGTATGTATCCTGTGTGTGTCTAGCTATGTGGGAGAGCCCCTCCCCTGCCCCAGGGCTCTCCTATAATCTAAAGTCTCTACCCAGGGATACAGGAAGAAATGACTTTATTAGAAGAGATGTGAGAGACGGAAGTTTCACATGGAAAGGAGTACTCCTCGAGTGGCCCCAACACATTAGAGCTTGGCCCTGAACTCCCCTCTCTGTCCTGTCTTTACAACCATTCCAACCCTGTGTTGTCCCTGGCAAAGAACAAAGGTGCTCTCTTAAATTGAGCTTAGCTTCTATAGCTTCTACTGATGTCTACACAGATAAATCCTCCACTCAGAAACAGCCTGGCACAGTTTCTCAGCCCCAACCCTCCAGCGAAGGAGTTTGGTTAGAGGAGGCCCGTTTAGTTCATAGTGGCCATTTCAAGGACTGACCCACCCTCCAGGTACCACTACTTCTGCTCCCTGTAGAGACCCTGGAGTGCCTTTGGGTCGTTAAGAGGACATTGCCTTAACCACAGAGCCAGCCCAGTATCCACAAGGCACAAGTCAGGCCCCTGTCACAGTGAGGGTGTTTCTCTTTAGGATGAACCATGATCAATGGCAGCAATCAGGAAATAGATGAAAAGAGAGAAAAAAACAAGATGCCATAGTGGTCAGGGGAAAAGAATTCACAGTCACCATGGAGGGATAGAATCTGCAGTGCCCATCAGATATTGGGGTATAAAGGCATGCAAACGTCCTGCTGAGGCCCTCCATGGCCCTAGTCTTGATGTAGCCCTGAAGAGAGGTGTGTGCTCACTCTGGTCTCAGTTTTGGAGTTGGATTTTGGCTTAGGTTGGGTAGCAATAGTGTCCATCATAGTTTATGGACTGGGGCCCAGGTTCATGGAAAACCTGCTGGGTACAGAGGTTAGGCCTGGGTCCTGGAGTTAAATATCTCTGCTGTGGGCTATCTGTGTGACCAGGGCAAGTTACAGGCACAGACCCACTCATCTGCACATAGGATAGCAAGTATATTTACTTACTGTAGGGTAGAGAGTAGGAGGAATGCTGTGAGGACAGTGCTTAGCAGTTCTGACATGTTGGCAGTTGGGAGCTGTGATGATTGTTGCTGTTGTTTTCTGGATTGTTATTCTACCCATAATCAACAGAGAAAGGCCTGGGGTTCTTAGCAGGGGAAGGAAAAGGGTGATGAGTCATGTTCATCAATTCTCCAAGGAGTTATAATATTTAGAGAGGGTGATGACATGCTGTTCTTTGCCCCGTGAAGAACAAGGCCACAATGAAAGTAAATCAACTCAACATATGGCTTCTGGGGTGCCAGGGGGGACTGACCAAGGAGCCTGTAGAATGCTTTGGTCCTGTGCCACCACTGGCTACGGCATGAGGTCCCCAGATGTCTCTTCTGTCTGATGTGTGGTGACAGATGGGCTGTGTCAGCTTCTGTGACTGCACAGCTCAGCTGCCAGGACATCAGGCCCCAGAGGAGCTAGAGGAAGCAGCACCACAACCTCCAGGTGTGTTAAGGTAGATGCAAACAGGTCACTCGTACCAGGTGGTCACATTGTGGAGTAGAGTGAGATGAGTGTCTGCATGGAGCAGATCGAACACACCCCAGCCCTGATGCCTGGAACTGGGATTGTCGACGTCACCCAATCCGGGTCTTGTTTTCTCTGCTGTAGCCTGGAAATGGGCATGCACTTTCATTCATCCGTTCAACGCATGCTTTACCTCTGCCCTAATCTGTGGAAACACCAGCTGTACTCTGGGGGTGTCCTAGGGACAGGAAGTGTGACTTGACGTTAAGGTACGCACCATCTCTTGAGATGACTTGAAATTAAGGTATATGCCATCTCTGAAGACATTTAAAATTAAGGCACACAATGACTTGGAGACATGTAAAGTTAAGGTACATGCTGTCTCTGGAGACACTTGAAGTTAAGGTACAGGCTATTTCTCAAGGTGGCCTGAAGTTAAAGGTACACAGTATCTTGGAGACATTTAAAGTTAAGGTACACACCATCTCTGAAGGTGACTTGGAGTTAAGGTACCTGCTTGGAAAGCCTCCAACCCTGGGCCTGCCCAGTAGGCTGCAGGCTGATGGCTGTGGAGGCAAAGATCAGGGGGCAGAGAATGCCAGGGACTCCCTGCTTTCCTGAGGGCCCTTCTGAATGAGGATAATTCCTCACTCAACACTGGAGTTTCTTAGATTTTGAAGATTGTAGTGGTGGAGAAACCAGGGACCATTCCAGACGCTTCCTTTTGGAAAGAGAAAGAAGGTTGCCACATCTAGGGCATGTAGGACCCCTGCCTAGGAAGAATATTCTTTCCAAGGTAACTCATCCCTGCTCTAGTCCCCCTCCTTGTCCTCCCACTTAGAATGGAGTTTCAGGTGGGGTCTCGAATCTGAGACTCATTGCCTCATCCTCTGGCACCCAGGAGCCCTAGAGGGTTCTGCAGGAGACCAGCAGAGGGATTGCCTAGCCTAGCCTAGGAATAGGGTAGAAAGCCCCCTCCCCACTTAAGGGATGAGGGAATGACCTTCATGCCTCCTTCCTCCTCTCTCTCTCCAACTCCTCCCCCTTTGAAGGTTGTTATCTCCTCTCTGTCTCCTTCAAGGACGTGACTGCATTCCCCAGGTTGCTCTGGCGTCTGGATCAGCCACTGTGTGGTGTGGTTCTGAATTGTAATGACCATGGACCATGTCTGAAATGCTCAGATACCCATGGGTGGAGTGTGCCTCCTGTGGGCAGAGGGTGGAAAGTGCTGACCTCCAGTCTGTCCTCAGTCTTGTGAGGAATGGACACCTCAAACCTGATGTTAGAAGTGTACCCAACTCCACTCCCTACCAATTATGGACGTAAATTGTCATTGGCTTATAAACACTTACTGAGGTGTTTCTATTTGTTAGGTGCTGCTATGAAAAAAGGCACCTTTGGGGAATATTCAACACCCACAGGACTGGGCAGAGGACTGTGGCAAAAGCAACTTGACAATCCAGCCAGTTCTGTTGTGGGTCACTATGGTTGGATCTCTTATTTATACTTGACGTGTGTGTGTGTGTGTGTGTGTGTGTGTGTGTGTGTGTGTATTAAAATATATATCGCATAAGGAGCTAGAGAGATGGCTCTGCAGTTGAGAGCACTTGCAGAGGCCTGGAGTTTGGTGCCCAGCACCCAGATCTAATAGCTCACAATTGCTCCAGGAGATCTCACACTCTCTTCCGACCTTTGTGGGCACCCAGATGCATATACACACACATACAAACATACACATAAATAAATAATAAAACAAATCTTTAACATAATATCACAAGAGCC